TGCTCATAGGATAACCCAGCGTGCCAAATAGCATCCTGTAAACAATGATGCAGATTTCGTCATTCGCTAAAGTGACACAAATGAACAGGATTTTTTTCTTTAACACGTAAAAAAATTATTTGACGTGTTTTAAACATCAGTGTGACTGATGCAATATGGTAGCGTTACTAATGGTCTATTATTAGATGCTCGATCTCAATTTCTGACTGGATCGGCTTATAATAGATGCTTATTGCATCATTCGCAAAGTGACGAAACTCTACAGTAGGCTCATCATATTCAAAAAGTTATTTTTTCATCTTTCGCAAGGTGACGAAACTGTACAGAAGGATTTCCTCGTGTTACAAATTTATTTTTCGAAGCCTGTTGTAGCTTTACCGCTGAATATAGTAGTACCCCTTACTCGCTATGCAGGACGCCCGATTAACGGATGCCAAGTGCCAACATAGTCGCTCTAAAACTTTGGGTGCCAAACCGTATATTGACGAAAGTTGTACCCTATATGGCGCTGCCCATAAGAAACTTTAGTTTTCTTTCTCGCAGAAATATTCTCGGGGGTATTCTCATCTACTCCCTAAAGTTTCATGGCACTCAGATGAATCGCATCCGAGTTTTATTTTTTATATACCGTGTATAGAGAAAAAATCGCTCTCCCCTGGGGCGCCGCCCTTGCAATATTATTATTATTATTATTATTTTTTTGCAGAACCCTACCATTGAGTGATCTAATCATCTCCCCAAAGTTTCATGGTACACGGATGAACGGTGTGAAACCGAAATAGACTTAAATTTTTATAAACCGTATATAGTGAAAAATCGCACCCTCCCGTGGCGCCGCCCTTGCGTAATTAAAAATGATTTTTTACAGAACCGTTCCCTAGAGTTTCATAATGAACTCCCCAAAGTTTCATGCCTATCGGATGAACAGTGTCACTGCAATTCACTTTTATTATTTTTATATACCGTATATAGATAAAAATCGGAACCTTCCCGTGGCGCCGCCCTTGCGAAATTAAAGATTATTTGTTTACAGAACCCTTCCCTAGAGTGGTATAATTAACTCCCCAAAGTCTCATGGCTATCGGATGAACGATGTCAAACCAAAATTGAATTTTATTTTTTATATACAGTATGTAGAGAAAAATAGGACCCTCCCGTAGCGCCGCCCTTGCGAAATTAACAATATTTTTTTTACGGAATCCTTCCCTAGAGTGGTGTAATGAACTCCACAAAGACTCATGGCTATCGGCTGAAAGATGCATAACCAAAATTGACTTTTATTTTTTTATATACCGTATATAGAGAAAAAACAAATCGCACCCTGCCGGGGCGCCACCCCTGCGAATTTGAAATTTTTTTTTCGCAGAAACCTCCCCAGGAATATTCTCAACAACTTCCCAAAGTTTCACGGCGATGTGATTAGAGGTGTGGTAATGCATAAAAGACACACAGACAGACAGACACACACACATACATTGCTTTATATATATATATATATATATATATATATATATATATATATATATATACATATATATATTCTTATATTTAGTTTTACAATACAAGCGTATAATATTTACTTTTAATGAAGGATCCAAATCCTTTTATTTTTTAAATTGATCTAAGTTTACAAACTTTATTTAAGTGTATGTGACGGGTGCGCTAAAAGGCGGCCGAACTGTAACAGCCAAACTTAACCCAGGCAACAGAACTGTTCTCAATGGTGTTGTCCATCAGATTGATGCCATGTTGGGATTTGTTTACAAGACTGCTATTGAGGAGATTCAGATTGATCCTAACACTCAGTAAGGTTTTTCAATAGCTGGCATTAAAATAATCTTAGTCTATGTTGAAAAGTTTGTAACATGTAGGTTTCCTTTCAGAAGGTCTCTTTAAGATTCTTTTGCATGTTTCTATTTATTTTTAGAATACTGAAATTTTTAAAAATATTTCAATTTAGCGACCTCATTCAAAATCTAGCAAAACCTTGTTTACAATATTGTTTCTGTTACTCATACTTTGACATGTATAACCTAGAATTCGTTTGTTTTTAACATAATGTTTTCTTGTTTTATATTATAACAGACTTTGAAGTTAAATTTTATTTTACTCTTTTCTTAGTTATTAAAACTACGGGTATTTTAAAAAAAAAAATTGCTTGCTGTTTCAATTTTTTTTGTAACAACTTTAAAAAAATAGTATTCTAATGTTCTCTTATTTTTGTTTTGCAGAAACTTTGAGCAGCTGATCTTTGCAGCAAGGAAAGATCTACAGAACTACATCACAGCCACCAGTGGTGTTACTGTTTTTGTACCAACCAACCCAGCCATGTACGCCATCGCTAACGTCTACCAAAACTACATCCACAACCAGTCATTGATCAACATGGTGGGTGGTTTAAGATGTAAATTGTTTTCCATTAAAGCGATTCTTGTACACAAGGGACTTGACGGTAGGAGAGGAGTTGCACAATGTTACTGTAACAGAATTAGTGAGTGTTATAACTAGGTAACTCTCAGTTAAGCTGTGAGGGGCTAACCCTTGAGTTCCAGACTCCTCTGATTACCATTTCATACAGAGGATAATAGCGTGACACAAATCACCGATGTAGTTAGATTCTTCTCTTATTCCACATTTATTGATACCACAGCCACTAAGTATGAGGGATTCACATTGTAGACAAGACTTTACTATTTATGCATAAAAGAAGACCACTGTATACGATTCCAATACCAAAACTTCCTCTCCCTAACCTAACAAGGCAAAGAGTGAACTATCGTTCTTCCCCACAAATAACAATACTAAATTAAAACGTCACATACTTGAATAACGCATCAGAAAGTTCAGATCTTTTAATTATGCGAAAATGTTTCTCAACATACTCTCGAACCCTTTTTATCTTTAACATTACCATGCGTTTGTATCATGTGCTATTGCTTTAGAGGGTACACCAGTGTGTTCATTTACTTGTTCTTATGGAACACCTTATCTGTGTTGTTTGTTCTAAAAACAAAAATAACATGCTTGTATTTGTCACTGTATTTTTTGAGATTTTAAGATATGTTATATGATGTTTGTATGTATCAAGAAATCTGGTACTCAATAAATGATTAAAAAATTCAAAGTTGATATCAGCAAGAAAATAAAAGGTAAATAACTCAGTGATGTATATTGATTTTAAACTTTGTTTAAATAATCTGTTGCCTGTTTATCAAATAGGTTCTAGAGATGAGCCTTCTACAACAAGGCCAGTCTATAAACTTAATGGCTTATAATGGGGGATACGAAGCTTATAAAACAGCTGTTTCAAGATATAATGGGAGGCTTATTAAAGTTTACAACGAAGGGAATGGTAAAGTATAATGCTCTTTATTTATTTTACATGTTTTTAAAAGATTCAATGTGTTTTTTCCACAAACTGATTTTTAAAAAATGCATAAAAAACGTCTTAATAGCAAGCTTTTGTGTAATAATGCACTAAAATGTGAAATTAAATGATTTTCTTTAAATATACAATAGTTCACATATATTTAAAATACTATATACGTTATTTAAATAGTAGTGTATTGTTAAATATCTAAATGAAATCATTTATTTTCCCTTCTTAGTGAATTATTACATAAAAGCTTGTTATTAAAACATTTTGTATGCAGTTTTTTCAGTACTTTAAAGTTTTTATTTATAATAGTGTTGCATTGCTAAATGATGCGCGTATTATAGTGCGGAATTAATTCAAGGCTGCCAACTAAATTCAGAAAATTGGAATAAATTTATAAAAAATTATTTAATTATCCAATTAAGCCACATGTAATGTCAGATTGCTTTGCCATCAAGTTTGGCAACTTTGAAACGAATCATCTAATTAGAAGTGCCCGAAATTTCGCCAAACCGTTTCGACCTATGACGACAGATAGGTACACAGACTGTCGTCTTAATGACGACGGAACAACAGTAAAAGCAAGTTGAACAAAATCTTGTAAAAATGAAGGAGCTTGCCGTAAACAATATTTTAATAACTACATACATTTAAAAACAATGTTTTAAAGTTCATTAATATTTTTATCTCACAATAATAGACACATGGGTAGAAGGAGGATATGTGAAGGCAAGATTTATCAAACCTGACATAGGTGTCACTAATGGAGCGGTCCATCAGATTGATGCAGTTTTTGGGATCCCCACTCGGGATATTCCGTACACTGTTTTCTGTGAGGACTCTCTCGTGTAAGTACATTGTTTTATTTAAATGAAGAAAAATATTCTTACTTGCAAAAATGAATAGCATTTTAGTACTACAACAATGCGCACATGTTGTGTTCAGTCTCAACCCCTCTTCAGTCTCACAACTCTTGTTTAAAATTGTACATTTTAAGTTGGGTTTACTTTTAGTGTTGTCAGCAGAAAAATTGAGCTACATTAAAAAAAAATAACAATTACTTTATGCTCAAGGAAGCTGTTACAATTTCTGGACTTTTTTCAATTTTTTGCTTTACTTAAATTAATATTCGTTTGTAGCAAATCAAATTATAACTTAAAATAATAAATACATGAAAGTTTATGGTAAAGAAAATTAAAATCATTTCACTGGTTAAAATGCATGCGCATAAAAATTACTTGATAGTGGTTGAATAACATTTATGTAATTCTCAGAAATGTATGCCTATTCTATTCTAATTTTTTAAAGTTTAACAATAACCTTACATACTGAAAACTATTATTTCCTGTGTTTTACCCAAAAGGTCAACCTACATCCAGATAAAGTACGTAGGTCTGGACGCCTACATGAGAGATCCAACTCTGACTAGAAACCAGGACTGTGTGTTTAGTGCCAGTGCTGCTGCTGGTCAAGTCCCTCCTGCTGCTGGCACCTGGCAAACTAACACTGGACAAGCCAATCAGAATCAAAATTTCTACGGAGGCTTGTGTGGCGATGGTCTGCACAGGTATAGACTTTTTTTTTCATATGCATGTTCATTATTCTCATTAAGCACTGATAAACATTTGGTAAAGAACTAAACAGCACTTCATCCAATTTTATTTTTCAAAAATTAATAATATGAAGTACTTTTGTCAGTTTTCTGTAATGAAACAATTACTAAATGTAACTTCTTTGATATTAATACGCCATTTACACATGTTTCAATTTTCGTTAGATGTGAGTTTACATTTTTTGTACCAAATGGAACTGCTATTGACAACTTTGCATTGACTGCTTATGGTAGACAAATTATGAATGACAAGAGGAGGTGGAGATGGGTAAGGTTTTTTCTTCTTTAATTTTGTAAAATTGTTCATTAGAAATTCAAGAGAGCTGTTATCTTCAGAGCAACTACTTGAAATAAATACTTGTTTTTAAACTAGAATTTATGAAAGTATAAGATTTTTAAAAGACATAGTGAAACAAATATAGGTTTTTGTTTTTTGACAAAATTTTGATTTAACATTTTATGTTATTATTATTTTTAAAACAGTTATATTAACCCATCTACTCGCCTAAGTTACCTATCAATGGAATCGATACAGTTTCTAATTCAATAATTATGAAAGTGTTATGATTAGTAAACCACTACATTAGATTCATATAAATTATTTTTTAAAAATACGTATTCATCATGAGCTGGATTTGATTTTCAGAGCAATTCAATTATAAGTTGTAGATCAAAAGCATTTATATTGTTACTTCTGTTTCATTGTATAAATAGGCTGTCATATTAGCATATGTAAAGGACTGAGTTTTTTTGTTTATTTTTAGCTCCTAAGAAGATTAATCACATTCAGAGAGAAGATATACATTGACCAGCTAGCTTATGATGCACCTAGGAGTTATTATGCTGACAATGGTGAAGAGATCATCATACAGACAGACTCCAGGTCCAATATCCCCAGTGGACAAAGAAGTGAGTAAACTTTTATAGTATTCCACTGTAGTTTGTTTAACTTTATATTATTCCACTTAACTTTTCTAACGCAGCAACCTACATCATGTTTGGAGGTGTCAGAGCGCAAGTTGTACACTCAGATATTGGCGCCACCAATGGTGTCATACATATTATAAGCTCTCTACTTTTTATACCAGAGGATTTGGACAGGGACGTCAGTGAAAGTGATCAAAATAAATGTAAGTATAGGACACACCTGGTACATGGCAACACTTGTCATTTCTACGTTTGTAAATGTTTTTATATATATATATATATATATATATATATATATATATATATATATATATATATATATATATATATATATATATATATATATATATATATATATATATATATATATATATATATATATATATATATATATATATATATATATATATATATATATATATATATATATATATATATATATATATATATATATATATATATATATATATATATATATATATATATATATATATATATATATATATATATATATCTTACCTACGTTAGTCTAAATCATCTGCTTCCTCCCAAACTTTTCAATGTGACATTGTTCTAACAACGATTTGATGCATTTGGTCAGTTTGATCTTTTTCTATGTCAATTTTACATAACATTTTAATATTATTTTGTTCTAACTAATAAAGTTTTCTTGAAGACGCTCGAAAAATAATGCTCTAAGTCTAATTCAGCTAATGAAATTAGTTCTATAAGTCATGCGACTGGCACTTTATTGATCCAAATGGCGACGTATGAAAGTCTTTTTTTTTCGATTTTGGTGCTGATGCAAATAAATTGACTGAATTACCAGATCCTGATTTGTAAGTGAATGTTTATTTAACCCGTAGTCTTAGCTGTATAATTTGTAGTTCAAGAATGTTTGTTGAAAAAAAACTTTATTTATAATAGGCCTATTATTTATATATTAATGATAGTAAATTTATAATAGTTATAAATACACTATAACTTCTACATTTCTACAACAATATAGGTCAATTTGAATATCCAATGTTGCATTTAATTTTATTTATACTTATATTTTAGATTTAGTGACTTTTTAAAAATTATCTAATTCAAATCAATAATTTGAAAAGTATTAATAACCTGTTAGGAATTAACGGTTTTTGCTTTGTTTATAAAGGATGGGCATAAATATTTTCAAAAATTTTCATTAATTTGGATATTTTTCAGCAATGAATGTGACTATTGTGAGACTCTGTTGCTGATCCCAGTTAGATTCTACACAGATGATTCTGATTCTAAAGTTTCAAAAAAAAGAAAAATAGTCTATTGTCTAGGCCACATTCTCGTAGTTTTAAAGTAATGAGTGATTCTAGGTTACATAACTTGATTGAAGCGAAGGTCTTCTATTTTTGTACATTTTACTGATTTAGCCCACATTTATTTCTATCCACAGAAGAGGGTGAAACAGAACCAGAAAATTAAAAATAAGAATAGAGAACTCGAAATGCCATGTAAATTATTGTGGCCATGCCAAAGTTTAAAATGCGTAGTAGCTTTACGAGTATGGTAACAAGGTGTATGTATATTCGCCATATTTTATTACACGACTGGTTTTGTTTTTGCAAAAATAAATGAATTGTGTATATTGTGTAAAATTAATACATTATTTGTTGAAGATAATTACAGAGTATTGTATTTATTTTACAAATACATTGAATTTAGTGACATCACGATACAGTGGTCGTTGTGCGATCCGCACAGGGTGACACCAATATGAAAAACTAATATTTACTGGCCAAACAATGCTCTATCCAGTTAAACTTAAAATAACAACATTTTAGAAGGAGAGGGGTGACCCTAAAAAAATTGAATTTTGCTAGAAGTCGGATGGGTGACACCCTCAGTTACCACACCGGGTGTCACCCGACCTAGTGTCGCCACTGACTCGATCATATTATGTTAATGTATGCAGACAACCAAAAGTTACAGAACAAACTTTACCAGTGTTTCTTCCAGACTTTTTTCTCCGTAGGAGGAAGGAGAACGGACTAAAATTTCCGGGGGGAAGGGGCGGTCACTGTTAAAAGTATATACTTTCTAGATAAATTTCATTTTTTCGGAGGTTGGGGGGGGGGGGGGGGGTGGTGGAAAGAGGCGGTAGACTTTCTTCGGGGGGGGGGGGGGCGGAGCCGGAAGAGATGCCTGGTAGAAACTAATAAAGTTTTCTTGAAGACGCTAGAAAAATAATGCTCTATGTCTAATTCAGCTAATGAAATTAGTTCTATAAGTCATGCGACTGGCACTTTATTGATCCAAATGGCGACGTATAAAAGTCTTTTTTTTCGATTTTGGTGCTGATGCAAATAAATTGACTGAATTACCAGATCCTGATTTGTAAGTGAATGTTTATTTAACCCGTAGTCTTAGCTGTATAATTTGTAGTTGAAGAATGTTGAAAATATCTTTATTTATAATAGGCGTATTATTTATATATTAATGATAGTAAATTTTTAATAGTAATAAATACACTATAACGTCTATATTTCTACAACAATATAGGTCAATTTGAATATCCAATGTTGCAATTAATTTTTTTATACTTATATTTTAGATTTAGTGACTTTTTAAAAATTGTTAAAAAATTGTCTAATTCAAATTAATAATTTGAAAAGTATTCATAATCTGTTAGGAATTAAAGGTTTTTGCTTTGTTTATATAGGATGAGCAAATGTATTTTCGAAAAATGTCATTAATTTGAATATTGTGACGACTCTGTTGCTGATCCCAGTTACATTCTACACAGATGATTCTGATTCTAAAGTTTCAAAAAAAAAGAAAAATAGTCTATTGTCTAGGCCACATTCTCGTAGTTTTAAAGTAATGAGTGATTCTAGGTTACATAACTTGATTGAAGGGAAGGTCCTCTATTTTTGTACATTTTACTAATTTAGTGTAATTCATTTCTAGCCACAGAAGAGGGCGAAACAGAACCAGAAAAAAAAGAACAGAGAACTCGAAATGCGATGTAAATTATTGTGGCCATGCCAAAGTTTAAAATGCGTAGTAGCTTTACGAGTATGGTAACAAGGTGTATGTATATTCGCCATATTTTATTACACGACTGGTTTTGTTTTTGCAAAAATAAATGAATTGTGTATATTGTGTAAAATTAATACATTATTTGTTGAAGATAATTACAGAGTATTGTATTTATTTTACAAATACATTGAATTTAGTGACATCACGATACAGTGGTCGTTGTGCGATCCGCACAGGGTGACACCAATATGAAAAACTAATATTTACTGGCCAAACAATGCTCTATCCAGTTAAACTTAAAATAACAACATTTTAGAAGGAGAGGGGTGACCCTAAAAAAATTGAATTTTGCTAGAAGTCGGATGGGTGACACCCTCAGTTACCACACCGGGTGTCACCCGACCTAGTGTCGCCACTGACTCGATCATATTATGTTAATGTATGCAGACAACCAAAAGTTACAGAACAAACTTTACCAGTGTTTCTTCCAGACTTTTTTCTCCGTAGGAGGAAGGAGAACGGACTAAAATTTCCGGGGGGAGGGGGCGGTCACTGTTAAAAGTATATACTTTCTAGATAAATTTCATTTTTTCGGAGGTTGGGGGGGGGGGGGGTGGTGGAAAGAGGCGGTAGACTTTCTTCGGGGGGGGGGGGGCGGAGCCGGAAGAGATGCCTGGTAGAAACTAATAAAGTTTTCTTGAAGACGCTAGAAAAATAATGCTCTATGTCTAATTCAGCTAATGAAATTAGTTCTATAAGTCATGCGACTGGCACTTTATTGATCCAAATGGCGACGTATAAAAGTCTTTTTTTCGATTTTGGTGCTGATGCAAATAAATTGACTGAATTACCAGATCCTAATTTGTAAGTGAATGTTTATTTAACCCGTAGTCTTAGCTGTATAATTTGTAGTTGAAGAATGTTGAAAATATCTTTATTTATAATAGGCCTATTATTTATATATTAATGATAGTAAATTTTTAATAGTAATAAATACACTATAACGTCTATATTTCTACAACAATATAGGTCAATTTGAATATCCAATGTTGCAATTAATTTTTTTATACTTATATTTTAGATTTAGTGACTTTTTAAAAATTGTTAAAAAATTGTCTAATTCAAATTAATAATTTGAAAAGTATTCATAATCTGTTAGGAATTAAAGGTTTTTGCTTTGTTTATATAGGATGAGCAAATGTATTTTCGAAAAATGTCATTAATTTGAATATTGTGACGACTCTGTTGCTGATCCCAGTTACATTCTACACAGATGATTCTGATTCTAAAGTTTCAAAAAAAAAAGAAAAATAGTCTATTGTCTAGGCCACATTCTCGTAGTTTTAAAGTAATGAGTGATTCTAGGTTACATAACTTGATTGAAGGGAAGGTCCTCTATTTTTGTACATTTTACTAATTTAGTGTAATTCATTTCTAGCCACAGAAGAGGGCGAAACAGAACCAGAAAAAAAAGAACAGAGAACTCGAAATGCGATGTAAATTATTGTGGCCATGCCAAAGTTTAAAATGCGTAGTAGCTTTACGAGTATGGTAACAAGGTGTATGTATATTCGCCATATTTTATTACACGACTGGTTTTGTTTTTGCAAAAATAAATGAATTGTGTATATTGTGTAAAATTAATACATTATTTGTTGAAGATAATTACAGAGTATTGTATTTATTTTACAAATACATTGAATTTAGTGACATCACGATACAGTGGTCGTTGTGCGATCCGCACAGGGTGACACCAATATGAAAAACTAATATTTACTGGCCAAACAATGCTCTATCCAGTTAAACTTAAAATAACAACATTTTAGAAGGAGAGGGGTGACCCTAAAAAAATTGAATTTTGCTAGAAGTCGGATGGGTGACACCCTCAGTTACCACACCGGGTGTCACCCGACCTAGTGTCGCCACTGACTCGATCATATTATGTTAATGTATGCAGACAACCAAAAGTTACAGAACAAACTTTACCAGTGTTTCTTCCAGACTTTTTTCTCCGTAGGAGGAAGGAGAACGGACTAAAATTTCCGGGGGGAGGGGGCGGTCACTGTTAAAAGTATATACTTTCTAGATAAATTTCATTTTTTCGGAGGTTGGGGGGGGGGGTGGTGGAAAGAGGCGGTAGACTTTCTTCGGGGGGGGGGGGCGGAGCCGGAAGAGATGCCTGGTAGAAACTAATAAAGTTTTCTTGAAGACGCTAGAAAAATAATGCTCTATGTCTAATTCAGCTAATGAAATTAGTTCTATAAGTCATGCGACTGGCACTTTATTGATCCAAATGGCGACGTATAAAAGTCTTTTTTTTCGATTTTGGTGCTGATGCAAATAAATTGACTGAATTACCAGATCCTAATTTGTAAGTGAATGTTTATTTAACCCGTAGTCTTAGCTGTATAATTTGTAGTTGAAGAATGTTGAAAATATCTTTATTTATAATAGGCCTATTATTTATATATTAATGATAGTAAATTTTTAATAGTAATAAATACACTATAACGTCTATATTTCTACAACAATATAGGTCAATTTGAATATCCAATGTTGCAATTAATTTTTTTATACTTATATTTTAGATTTAGTGACTTTTTAAAAATTGTTAAAAAATTGTCTAATTCAAATTAATAATTTGAAAAGTATTCATAATCTGTTAGGAATTAAAGGTTTTTGCTTTGTTTATATAGGATGAGCAAATGTATTTTCGAAAAATGTCATTAATTTGAATATTGTGACGACTCTGTTGCTGATCCCAGTTACATTCTACACAGATGATTCTGATTCTAAAGTTTCAAAAAAAAAAGAAAAATAGTCTATTGTCTAGGCCACATTCTCGTAGTTTTAAAGTAATGAGTGATTCTAGGTTACATAACTTGATTGAAGGGAAGGTCCTCTATTTTTGTACATTTTACTAATTTAGTGTAATTCATTTCTAGCCACAGAAGAGAGCGAAACAGAACCAGAAAAAAAAGAACAGAGAACTCGAAATGCGATGTAAATTATTGTGGCCATGCCAAAGTTTAAAATGCGTAGTAGCTTTACGAGTATGGTAACAAGGTGTATGTATATTCGCCATATTTTATTACACGACTGGTTTTGTTTTTGCAAAAATAAATGAATTGTGTATATTGTGTAAAATTAATACATTATTTGTTGAAGATAATTACAGAGTATTGTATTTATTTTACAAATACATTGAATTTAGTGACATCACGATACAGTGGTCGTTGTGCGATCCGCACAGGGTGACACCAATATGAAAAACTAATATTTACTGGCCAAACAATGCTCTATCCAGTTAAACTTAAAATAACAACATTTTAGAAGGAGAGGGGTGACCCTAAAAAAATTGAATTTTGCTAGAAGTCGGATGGGTGACACCCTCAGTTACCACACCGGGTGTCACCCGACCTAGTGTCGCCACTGACTCGATCATATTATGTTAATGTATGCAGACAACCAAAAGTTACAGAACAAACTTTACCAGTGTTTCTTCCAGACTTTTTTCTCCGTAGGAGGAAGGAGAACGGACTAAAATTTCCGGGGGGAGGGGGCGGTCACTGTTAAAAGTATATACTTTCTAGATAAATTTCATTTTTTCGGAGGTTGGGGGGGGGGGGGTGGTGGAAAGAGGCGGTAGACTTTCTTCGGGGGGGGGGGGGGGGCGGAGCCGGAAGAGATGCCTGGTAGAAACTAATAAAGTTTTCTTGAAGACGCTAGAAAAATAATGCTCTATGTCTAATTCAGCTAATGAAATTAGTTCTATAAGTCATGCGACTGGCACTTTATTGATCCAAATGGCGACGTATAAAAGTCTTTTTTTTCGATTTCGGTGCTGATGCAAATAAATTGACTGAATTACCAGATCCTAATTTGTAAGTGAATGTTTATTTAACCCGTAGTCTTAGCTGTATAATTTGTAGTTGAAGAATGTTGAAAATATCTTTATTTATAATAGGCCTATTATTTATATATTAATGATAGTAAATTTTTAATAGTAATAAATACACTATAACGTCTATATTTCTACAACAATATAGGTCAATTTGAATATCCAATGTTGCAATTAATTTTTTTATACTTATATTTTAGATTTAGTGACTTTTTAAAAATTGTTAAAAAATTGTCTAATTCAAATTAATAATTTGAAAAGTATTCATAATCTGTTAGGAATTAAAGGTTTTTGCTTTGTTTATATAGGATGAGCAAATGTATTTTCGAAAAATGTCATTAATTTGAATATTGTGACGACTCTGTTGCTGATCCCAGTTACATTCTACACAGATGATTCTGATTCTAAAGTTTCAAAAAAAAAGAAAAATAGTCTATTGTCTAGGCCACATTCTCGTAGTTTTAAAGTAATGAGTGATTCTAGGTTACATAACTTGATTGAAGGGAAGGTCCTCTATTTTTGTACATTTTACTAATTTAGTGTAATTCATTTCTAGCCACAGAAGAGGGCGAAACAGAACCAGAAAAAAAAAGAACAGAGAACTCGAAATGCGATGTAAATTATTGTGGCCATGCCAAAGTTTAAAATGCGTAGTAGCTTTACGAGTATGGTAACAAGGTGTATGTATATTCGCCATATTTTATTACACGACTGGTTTTGTTTTTGCAAAAATAAATGAATTGTGTATATTGTGTAAAATTAATACATTATTTGTTGAAGATAATTACAGAGTATTGTATTTATTTTACAAATACATTGAATTTAGTGACATCACGATACAGTGGTCGTTGTGCGATCCGCACAGGGTGACACCAATATGAAAAACTAATATTTACTGGCCAAACAATGCTCTATCCAGTTAAACTTAAAATAACAACATTTTAGAAGGAGAGGGGTGACCCTAAAAAAATTGAATTTTGCTAGAAGTCGGATGGGTGACACCCTCAGTTACCACACCGTGTGTCACCCGACCTAGTGTCGCCACTGACTCGATCATATTATGTTAATGTATGCAGACAACCAAAAGTT